GTGGAAGAGACAACAAAACTATTTTACTCCTCGCTTAAACAGTGATAATCTGAAACAACGAGAAATCCAGCGTTAATCATGCAAGACCGAAAAATACTATATCCAGACAATTTCAAAATGTTACTTGACATCCTCAAATGCGTTAGTAATTCTTTGCCATGATAATCCTTAAACGGCTAACTGTGCAGAGTTATGTTTTCTTCCATTTGCATCGGTCGAAAACCGCATTGAATTCATTTTCGAACTGTATATCGCATGAATTATTCATCGATACATGTTGTACAATGAAAATGTTTGCTTAACTTAGTAATTATTACATTCAGCGAACAAGGAGTGTGAATTTGAAGGTGCATTTGTACTGATTTGCGACTGGCAATTATCCTCCAAAATAAAAAACAGTAAAAGTGAAGTTCCTGTTTCCATTAAACAGAAAATTATGTATAATTTACAAAATGGCGCTGCCTGATTAAGATGCCTTATATCTGTGTATAATACATCGATCGTGGCAAGTTGTCTCATTTTCAGCGTGGCATAAATTATGCATGTGACCTGTTGAACAGTTAAGTTGAACCACAGAGAGCATATTAGCCGTCAGATTTATGACAGTTAACCACAAAAAATCGAAATCCTCTGCGGAGAGGACAATGCTGAAACGAGTTAATATGTTGTTTTGCACTTTAAATATCCTAGGTTCAAATCCCAAAGCCTGCAAAACATGTTTAAAATAAGTGCTGATTCCATATGAGCAGTACCACTACTTTGCTTCGACGCAATCAGCCAAGAAACTGGAGCAAGTGAGCAAATCGCTACCATATGAACAATACAACAATAAAATAAAATTCATGTAAAAGCGCGAAAAATAAAGAACATGCTTCTATGATAGGTCCGCCTTATACCTGCAATCCATCTCTTCCTACCTGTTGACTGACTAAAATTCAGCAATATCTGTAAACTGACAATAAAAAATGCTATATATTTTGATCCAGAAGATCGATGTTGCTTCTCATTCATGAGCTACAGATTTTCCAATACGATAGAACATGATCGTCTGTAGTCCACTAATAGCAAGCATCGATGCGATCACGCTCTTCAAATCCAGAATATTGGCAGTATTTTCAGTGTATTGAAAGGGACAATTTGTCACTAAGCCCAAAATACTTGAGTTATTTTTTAATGAGAATACCCGCTTCTCATCCCGGTTTGGGACCAGCAACGGCGGAGTATTCAACAGCTTAAATGATAAATTGAATTCTGCTATTGCCGGTTCCAAGCCCGGATGAGAAAGGAGAAGGGTCGGAGACCGTGGCAAATCTCCGTAAAATTTAGCCATTTGCCACTCATGGTATTGACGCCATCGAAAATTATAACGGCTCGGTCGCTGCCCCGGTTACTAAAGGCCATGCAGGCTGTTAGGGGACTAAGGCAGACGGCGAAAAGTCGGCGATCAGAACCTGCTCATTGCCCTCTGCCTGCAGGGCGGGGGCGTAGCAGAACAATAACGGCTGACGAAGACCGATGGAACGACGATGATGATAGCAGTCAGAAACGGAGTCGCTATCCGTTCTGAACGGAGGAGGCAGACAGCGTGATGCCATTATAGCACATCAGAAAAGAGCAGACTAGAACGACACCAAAAGTGGGAGCTAAAAGCCAGAAATTGGAACATATCCTCACTCAAAGGAAAAGAACAAGAATTAGTTGATGAGTCCATAAAGTACCAAATCGACATTGTTGGATTCCTGTCAACGAAACGCCAAGGCTCTGGAGTCCTGTACCTCAATGGATGAAAGCAATTCTACTCAGGCGTCGAAATCACGACTCGCGATCAGACCGGTATTGGCGTTTTAGCAGAACCCAACCTTGCCGATAGAATTATCGATTGGAAGCCGGTCAACGGAACGGTGGTAGTTCTCTGACTGAAGCTACAACAAGCTGAAACGATGCCTTTGGTACAGGTCTATGCGCCAAATTTGGAGGGAGAATATGAGACCTTCCTTCAGGAACAGCAGTGTCCTTTGTCCGAAGTGCCGAATACAGAGTCCCTCATACTGATAGGCGATTTTAATGCGTATGTCGGAATAGATGCATAAAAGTGGAACGGCGTGATTGAAAAAACGGCCTTTTGCGACCTCAACAATAACGCCATGAAGTTGTTGCGGTTTTGCGCAAACAACGGATCGTCCATTTTGAACATCTTCTTCGAGCATCGAAGAGTGCATTGATACCGGGAAGCTTGTGCGCAAAAGTCGATGATCGATTTGATAATCGTATCGTGTGACCTAAGATGCTCAGTGATGGACGTTCGTGTTAGAAGAGGCGCAGAGCTATCAACCAATCATCACCTC